AATCAAATATTGTTTTGGAATAAGTCTGCTGGTAACAATTTTTGATAATGTTTACTAAGTCTAATTTAGGCCATATACATGTTTATTACATATTTTTGATTGTGATGCTATTTATACACATCTACAGTGTACATTGTACAGTTGCAAACCTCTTGGCTCTTCTGTTCCAGTTGAACTTTGACGAACTCCAATTCCTTGGTTTTCTTGTCTAGTTGTATCTGAACTGCATGTATGTGGTTTTCCCATTCTGCTTTCTTGGCAGTTACCATCAAATCAATTTGCCGCATCAGCTGGAATCATGAGAAAAAAAAATGTGTTGATAATTACTAAATAAAATTAATCAACAATTACATGTACTATCAGCACTTAGTACTTAATTTGATGTAAGAACTTCTGAGAAAAATGTCCGCGTGCTCATTAATTAACTTTCATTTGTGAAAAAGTTTTAATTTGTTGCTGATCAAAATATTGACAAAATATAATGGCTAGATACGTATTTCAGTGCTGGAAGTTTCCAGTACCCACATTTTATAGTCTATGTTCATAAAAATAAATGTTACGTACTTAATCAGTGAATTTTTTTTGCATTTGTACCAAATGATTTATCACATAGTTCTCAATCTTGAAGGGTGATTACAGTAACATTATTGATCAAAATACATGTCTATCAACGTGTTTTAATTTTCGCAACATTTCCTGGGATACCTGCAGGAAACCTCTATTTGTCAGATACATGTAGATGTCTGTTACTGTAAACAGTTATTGAAAACATAATAGCCTCTAAAATACAGTGTGTACATATACATTGAAAACTAATACAATTACTCGAAACTTCTTCATCGATAGTAAATACTGCCATAAATAAGCTATAATTGTAGTTATTAAAGACGATTGAATGTTACCTTTAAAGTTTTTGAAGGCATCTTTTGATATGAAACTGTACTACTGTGTACCAAGTAATGAATAACAGTGAAGATTCTAATTTATGCAAATTTAACAGAAAACTGCTAAATAAATTCATTTAGCCTTAAGCTCAATGTTAAAATTGAAAAAAAACAAAAAACTGTGGTCAATTATGTACAAGGCTATGATTTAATAAATATTTCACTTGATGAAAACACTTTTAAGAAATACAATTGACATGATGTACTGGTTACAAACTTTTATTTGTAATATCTAAGTACAATAAGTGTGCTGTTACAAAATTAATGAACATCAATTTATTTAGAAATACGTCATGTACATCAACACTTAACATTGCAGGAATTTATTTTGTTTGGTTAGTAAAAGCTCTGTATGGGAACATTTTCTACAGTGACAGAAGTATATTTTTTTGTTTTGTTTTTTACTGTTATAGTACTATACAAGAACAAATTTCCAACCTCTCTTAGTTCTTCCTCACATGATGTTAAAGAACCTTTCCTGATCAAGCTAGAAAAAGAAAGACAAAAAAAAAAACATACAGCACTATGTATCAAAAATGTCACCTACAGTGTAACAGTACCAGCATATACAGGTACAATGTTCAGTATTGTGTGTGATGTGGACTTGCTTCTGGTTGAGGTTAATTAAAATCTTCATTCAATTTGTTTTATGTCATGGATCTGTTCCTGATTTTATGACAGTAAATGAGAGGGAAAAAAAAAAGAAAGAAAACTCACTCAGGCTGGTTTAGAGAACAAGAAACAAAAAAAAAACCAAAAAATTATTTTAAATTCTAACAAATACATACAAGTATACATACATGTACTTATCGTATACAACTAGGAACAAAGAGAAGCTTCAGAACCTCATACAATATAACCGAAACTGTGTTAATTACTTTTGGAACCATGCTTTCATCTTTATTAGCACCTACAATAATCTTCTTGAGAATTGAAGCAGATAAATTATTCAATCAGGAATGCCATTACAATTATAATTATTGTTCTTGACAAGACCTACTGAAACACCTGGCTTCACTAACATCAATTAACATATAACATAAAATCAGAAAATCTGTAAAGAATTAAGAAATTACGTCTTCTTTGCACTGGAGATAGCCCAAAATATGAATACACTGGCACTACCAAAAGACTCGAGAGGGGATCAACTTCAGTCTCCATCATCACCAC